GTTTGTTCAGGTCCTTTGTCCATTTTTAAATTGGGCTTTTTGTTTTCTTGCTATTGAGCTCCTTCTACATTTTGGATATTAACCCCTTATCAGATATATGTTTTGCAAATATGTTTTCCCATTTTTCAGGCTGCCTTTTCACTCTGTTGATTGTTTCCTTAGCTGTGCAGGAGCTTTGTAATTTGATGCAATCTCACTTATCTATTTTTGCTTTTGTTGTCTGCAGATATTTGTTGAATTTGGTGTTCATGCAGAGGGACAATTGCTGAAGTTTTCTATTTGGCCATCTTGCTCTGCCCCTTCTCCACGTTGTTTTGATTTCTACAGCTTTGTAATAATATTCTAAAATTGGGTAGTGTGATGCATCTGGCTTTGTTCTTTCTGCTCAAGATGACTTTGGCTATTTGGGGCCCATATATGAATTTTATGATATTGCTTCCTATTTCTGCAAAAAAGTCATTATAATTTTTTGGGAAATGGAGTCTTGCTATGTTGCCCAGGCTGGTCTTGAACTCCTGGGTTCAAGCAATCCTCTCGCCTCAGCCTCCCCAGTAGTTAGGACTACAGATGTGTACCACCATGCCAGGATCCACTAGAATTCTGACAGGGCTTGCACTGAATCTGCAGAACACTTTGGGTATTTTAACAATATTAATTCTTCTTATCTATGAACATGAGATATTTTTCCATTTATTTGTGTCATCTTCAACTTCTTTCATCAATATTTTATAGTTTTCAGTACACAGATCTTTCACCTACTTGGTTAAATTTATTCCCTAAGTATTGTATTTTTTTTTTTGTACCCATTGTGAATGAGATGCTTTCTTGATCTTTTTCTTGGATAACTGTTAGTGTATAGAAATGCTACTTATTTTTTGAATGTTTATTTTGTATCCCACAACTTTACTGAATTCATTTACTAGTTCTAACAATTTCGTTTGGTGGAGTCATTAGGGTTTTCTACATATAAGATCATGTTATCAGCAAACACAGCAAAATTTCACTTCTTCCATTCCCATTGGGATGACTTTTGTTTCTTTCTTTTGCCTAATTGTTCTGGACAGGCCTTCCAGTACTTATAATCCTTTGTATTTCTGTGGTAACAGTTGTAATGTTACCTCTTTGAGACTTCACTTTTTATTTCTTAGTCTAGCTAAAGGTTTATTAATTTTATCTTTTCAAAAAACTATTAGTTTTGTTATCTTTTCTATTGTTTTTATAGACTGTATTCCAATTTATTTCTGCTCTGATCTTTATTATTTCTTTCCTTCTGCTAACTTTGGGCTTCATTTGTTCTTCTTTTTCTAGTTCCTTGAGGTATAATGTTAAGTTTCTTTATCTTAGATCTTCCTTCTTTTTTGATTTAGGCTTTTATTGCTATAAACTTCCCTCTTTGAACTGCTTTTGATGCATTCCTTAAGTTTTGGGTATGTTGTGTTTCCATTTTCATTTGTCTCAAGATATTTTTTAATTTCCCTTTTAATTTTTTCTCTTGATTCACTGGTTGTTCAATGGCATATTGTTTAATTTCCACACATATGTGACTTTTCCAGTTTTCCTTCTATTATTGATTTCTAGTTTCATATCACTGTGGTCTAAAAAGATATTTGATATGATTTCAATCTTTTAAAATTTGTTAAGATTTGTTTTGTGACCTAACATATCATCTATCCTGGAGAATATTTTGTCTGCACTTAAGAAGAATATGTATTCTGTTGCTGTTGTATGGAATGTTCTGTATACATCTGTTAGGTCAATTGGTCTGAAGTGTTGGATGATTTTTTTAATTTAAATAAGCTTTCTGCCCCTTCCTCTTTCTCTTCTCCTTATATGGACCTCCTATTCTGCAAATGTTGGTTTGATTAATGGTGTTCCAGAGATACCATAGGCTTTCTTCATTCCTTTTGATTCTTTTTTTTTCCCTCTGACTGGATGATTTCAAATAATGTCTTCGAGTTCACTTATTCTTTCTTCTGTTTGATCTATTCTGTAGTTGAAGCTCTCTATTGCATTTTTCAGTTCAGTCATTATATTCTTAAGCTCCAAAATTTTTGTTTATGTTTTCAATCTCTTTGCTTAGCTTCTCATTTTGTTCTTGCATTGTTTTCTTGATTTTATTAAACTGTTTATCTGTGTTCTCTTGTAATTGTTCAGATTCTTTAGAATAATTTTTGGAATTCTTTGTCAGGCAATTTGTCCATCTCCAATTATTTGGGGTCAGTTACTGGAGTTTATTGTGTTCCTTTGGTGGTGACATATTTCCCTCATTCTTCATAATCCTTGTATTCTCATTCTTTTTTGTTGTTGTTTTTGAGACAGGGTCTTGCTCTGTTGCTTGGGCTAATTTTTCTATTTCTTTTTCTTTCTTTCTTTTCTTTTTTTTGCAGAGACAGGGTCTTGCTCTTGCTCAGGCTGGTATAATCCTTGTATTCTTGTGCAGGTGTCTATGCATTTGAAGGAGGAGTTACCTCTTCCAAACATTATGAACTGGCTTTGGTAAAGAAATATCTTCACCTGCAGGGATGGGGAGGAAGGGAGGAACTCTGGGGCATGCTGTGGTACTGGGTCTAGTGGCACAAGGAACCAAGCGTGGTGGTGTGTGGTTATTTGAGGTCTGGGGGTGAGGGAGACTGGGTCTCGTCAATTCAGGCAGCTGGAGCCTGTGACAGCACCTGCGTAGTCCTTGGTAACAAGAGCTGTGGGAGGTCTGCAAAGACTGTGAGAGGTATTGGGGTCCTCTGCTGTGTCTCTCTGTCCAATGGCAATGGACGAGAGGGCTGGCAGTAATGTGTGTACATATTCCAATGTGATTGTCTTGAAATACGTGAAGTCATGTAGGAAAAGGGTAGAACCAGAAGAAAGCAGTGGAACCACTGGGTTGAAGTTATAAGTACATATATTTCAACATAATATAAGGAAGCTATCAACAGAAAGAGCTACACAACAATGAAATTGGTTGTCACATGAGGGCCAAACCCTGTCATTGGAGACATTTTGGGGAGATTCTTATATAAGACGGTGAGCTCTTTCAGCATAGGGATTATGGTCCTAAGGTTAGGCACTTAGAATACATTAAATAAAAGTTTAAACGAATGAGATCTGAACGGATAAAAGAGGGGTAGATGAAGGTGTAGGTTGGGCCAAATGATCTCAAAAATCCCTTCCAGGTTTATATTTCTATAATAACATAAAAACTAAGTTACTGCTTCTTTCCCATTTCTCACCATCCTCCTAGAGCAGGTGGTATTTAACAAATTAGCGAAGGAAGGAAAAATATGAGCTCATTCCACATAGTGAGATTTTTAAGGAATTACTTTTAAAGAATTACTAAGGTTGTGATTGTTATAGTTCGGCTAGGACTCCTAACCCCACTCTACCCTTCTCTCTGATTAACATAAGAGGGTGTGAGCTTCACAAACACTGCTTCTCACTGTATGGAATTGACTTCTCTCTGCTGATGCGACCATCCAAATAACATACATAATGGTGAGGGTTAGAGAAGAGAATAAATGAGTCAAGAGGTTACCTATAACCTCTCAGGGCATAGCATAATTAAAAATTTTGGTTGGAGCTAGTTGGGCACCTTTTAATATTCGTTATCCACTGAAGAGTTTGAAGTATCACCTACTGTAGCCATTAAAAATAGACTCAAGCACTATAAAGAAATATTTCGCTAAACTATTCTGGCAATTTCTGCCAAAGAGTGAAACTTACACCCATTTTTCTTTCATAAGGACTAGTAAGATAAAGTACTGGAAAAAATGGTGTGGTCTCTTTAAAGAAATTAACAGTTTTGGAGGCGCAAGTACAGTATAGTACAATATAGTACAGTAATATCTGTACTAGGGGAAAAAGTTTCCTTCTCGTGGTTTTCTAAAAAAATGTTAAAAACCAGAGTGGCAAATTATCATTTTCGTGGAATGGTCAAAGACTAGAACTCTGTTTATGCAGCTTCACTTGTCTTTCACATATTTAAGTGATACATATTCAGAAGATGGCTGGAGAAGTCCTATGGCAGCCTCCACAGTAGATGTCCAAAATTATATAGTCAGTTTAAATAAAAATGAGCAACAACATTTTGTATAGAATATAAGTGGGAAAGGTTTTATTAGACTAGCCCAAGGTTTTAAATACCTGAATCATGCTCTATTCTAAAAAATACTAGTTTAAATAAAGTTTTTCTGTGCTATTTAGTTATGACCTCTGCTGCATAACACTTTTTGAATCATGGTGATGACTTTTCCTAGCACATAGCAAGAGCTCAATAATTATTTCCTAAATGAATAAATTGTAACATCCAAATAACATCCTCTTTCTCATATCCTTATAACCATGTCAAAATTGAGCATGCAAGTTCTATTTGTAGCCATGGGAGAGAATTAAAATATTGCTTTTTAACATTCTTCAGGCCCACATAGATACGAATAGGCAGAACACATACACAAACATTCAATCTTTTCTGCCCCTCCTCTTTGTTTCTACAGCATCCTTTTGTGCACTGCTATCAATTCATTTTTTACATTATGCTGTCATTATTAGTTTACTATCTATCACCCTTGACTCTGAGCACTTTGGTATAGGTTCAGTGTTATTCACCTTTATTTTCTTATATCAAGCAGTGTCTGGGTCATAGAAGGTGCTCCAACCCAAGAGTTAAAGAACCTCCAGGATCAATCCTAATAAATGTACTCAAATATAGTCATATAACCACATAGCAGCAAAGAAAATCCCTTTGTTAACCTAGCAGTTCTAAGTAAAAGTCAACTCAACCAATCTGCCTGAATTCTGTTGGCTGAAACATGAAACTAACAGAACAAGAAGGAGCACATTAGTAATAACCTAGCAAGGAAAGTTTTTGCCTTCAAGAATTTACTGAGACTTCATTCATGCTACATTAATTTTATCTATTCATTGCTGTGGCAGATAAAAAAGAATAGGAAGTGGGCAGGTGAGTGGAGGATAGGCCTTCTACTCAATAAAAAGCTAGCAACAAGGCTTACTTCTTCTGACTGCTCCCGAGTCTGTGCAGGTGAAGATCTTCTTCCCACTGTAAGTCGATGGCAAGGATAAGAGAGCCCTGATTCAGCAAGACACATCTGCAAAAAGTAGAATCCATCGCTTGTAAATAAAATGTAGCCATGTTTCACAAAAAGATTTTACTTTTTGAACATTTTCTATTATTTCTGAAGCTAGATTAGAAAGCTCACTCTAGTAGCCTAGGTATTACATTACCAGGAAGTCTTCGAAAAATCTGAAAATTTTCCACACATGAGACGTTACAGTAGTTAAGGCTAATTCCTATTAGCCTTGGTAATAGACTATGGCTCCAGAAAATGGTAATAAGGAAAAAATAAGGCAAATCATACACACTTTTCCCCCTAGTATGTGTCTGATTAGTAAAATACCACCTCATTTCCTAACTCCCTGGGCACTAAGAGTAGAAAAACAAAATTGTAGGTGAGACACAGAAACAAAAAATTCCAGAAGACATTTATATACCAAAAATATACCAAAATATAAATTTTGATTTTATCTAAAATGATCTCTCAGAAAAGAGGAAGCTGCCTTATATTTGAGCATTTGCAAAAGTTCTCCTATTACAGGGTGCTTCCTCAAATGCTTTATTTTCAATACACTGGGAAAGACAAATTAGCTTGAAATAATCCCAGTCAATGATGCTTCAGGTACTTATGGAGTTCACCTCTCAGAATTGGTTAATAAAGAAGACAAGGATATTTACTATCAATTTCATGATTATTCCTAGAGGTATGATCCCACAATTATAAGTGTTAAAAGCCCATATAAACAAGCCTTTAAAAGATACTTTGAATAATGTCTTAGGAAGACGATAAATATACATCAACAGAACAAATGGAAAAAAAAAAAAAAAAACCCAAAGAAAAAAACCCTCCACTATCCTAATGATACCTAAATAGCAACAGTATTAGATTAGTAGCTTCCCCATAGGATAGGGATAAGAAGGTTAAGCTAACATGGGTAAAGCAAAGAGAAAATGTCTACCATACAGTAGATACTCAACAAACATTAACTTTTTATTTTTCTGTGAATGAGTACTTATGGTTTGGTATAAAATGTCCAGTGACAGCATGATATGCTGATTCAATATGGTGCTGAATCTCAAATAAAGAGGATAGACTCTAAAAAATGTGACTCTAGTGATGATAATTATGCTTATATATAAAAAATGCATATAGAATTTGAATAAAATTATTTCATGAAATATGAGGGTAGACAAAAGCAGTATTTGTAAATTAATATTATTTTACATAAGTTAACATTAAGTATGTCCAATTAAATGAATTAATTTGATAAGCAATTATTATACTATACATCACAAAATTTATACATTTAAACTGCCCAAAGAACACTTTTTTTTAAAATAAAAGATTGTCTTACAGTATTTTTTGTTTGCAAGATAAGGCCACATTTTTAACCATAAATAGCTGCAGTAGGCAAGAATTCAATCTGATTGTTCTTGTCAACTGTCAATGATGGAAATGTAAGGATGGCAAATTGTTTTTAAATTAGACATGAAGAAATATGACCAAAATCATAAATTTGGTATGTTAAAAAGTAATCCAAGGAAAAGGCAGGTACTTAATAAATTCTTGTTGATTGCTAGAAGAACTCTTTCTATTTAATAACAGGAGACAGCTGAGTGTTGCATGGACTTTCAAAGTCAGTGTCCTGAGTTCGAATTCACTTCTACTATTCATTTCAATCAATATTTTACATCTCAAACCGAAGTTTCCTCTTCTATAAAAATTGATATTACCTTTCCTAACAGGCTTTCTGTGAGGATGGCTTGAAAGAGAATACACTTGCAACATAGTAGATATTCTATTAGTGACTGAATACTGTTAAAGCCCATTTGAAGTTTTTTCTTTTCTTCTGACAGACGGTATTTACTATTAGGAACATACTAACTATGCCAATGATTCTCAAAGTGTGATCTATAGACAAAGGGTTCTTGAGACACTTTCAGGAGTTCCACAAGGTCAAAATTATTTCATAATAATATTAATACTTAGATGGTATTTGAGTTTCTTCACCATATTTAACTGCGCAAATTCATCTATTTCATAGGGAATGGAGGATCAGAATCCCCCAGACCTATCTGTTGAATATCAAAAGGCTGAGAATCCCATGATGAATTCCACACAAAAGCACTAGTCCCTCCAGGTTTCTTGACACTAGAAGGCTCAAGTGGATCATGGTAAGATGCATCCAAAATTCTAGAACTCACTGGATCAATGTTTGCGTCACTTGTGAGTAAAGGAGTCTCTTCCTTCTTCACTGAAATAGTATGGTTTGATGTTCCTGGTGACAAACTTGGCTGAATTTGTTGTTGCTGCTGCTGCTGCTTCTTTCATTGACATGCTGGTTCTTAAACCAAGTCTTTATTGCTGATTTATCAAGGTGGAGCCCTGAAGCCAATTCCTCTATGGTAACCCAGTTTGGGTGAATGGTCTTTTTGAACTCTTCTTTCAAGACTGAGTTGTTCCAGACTAAAGTTTGTGTGGTGCCGATGAGTATTCTTTGGCTTTGCCAACTTAATAGTAGACATGATATCCCTTAGAAGTGCAGAACTCTTGAGCTTACTCTGTCTTTTCACTGTATTTTTATACTGATTTAAGAAAGCAATGGTGGGAAAATCTGCTGGTACCTTAGCATGAATCAGGGTAATGGCATCAAACTGTGCTAAAATCTTCAGTGCCATTTATGCACCACAAAACCAACAGTTTCATTTAAAAATGCCCCTGTTGAATCAGTAAAAATTATTAATTTTAATTATATTTTGTCTCTTGAGTACAGGTCTTTTAATATCCTATATGACAAATGGGAAGTATGCATAAAACATTCATGCTTCATACCAAAGTATGATATGTTGAGGGAAAGGCAATTGTGCTTGAGTTGTGTGCTGAACCAGCCACTCTTCTCATCGAACACCCCTACCACTTAAATGACTGGTAGACAAACTGGTCATTTGGATTTGGGTACAGCTAAGTATCCCTTATCCAAAATTCTTAGGACCAGAAGTGTTTTGGATTTTGAATTTTTTCAGATTTTGAATATCTGCATCATATATACTTAACAGTTAGCATCCCGAATCCTAAAATCTGAAATCACATTGGTGCTCAAAAGTTTCAGACTTTGAATTTTCGGATTAGGGATATCCAACTTGTCTGAGGCAGGCTTTTTCTCCAAAATGAATGGAGTGAGCCTACTACTTCGAGGAACAGGTCCGACAGTATTAATTGCCAATGATAAAATTTGAGTCTTCAAGTAAAAACTAAAAATTTAAAAAACTATCAGCCATCATGAGCTTGAAAGCTTTTCAATGCTTAAAGATTTTTCTGATGAGAATGGTGGTGATATTAACAAATGCAATTTTTTGATATAATGAAATGTGTCAACATCTAGAAAATCTGTATAACTTAGAGGACCAATATTCTTCATATGAACAGTGAATGCATGATGTTATAAAATAATGCATGAGTAAAAGTTCTCTTCAAAGTGTGAGGCAAACCAATGGATCTTACTATTACAAAGTACAAAATGTTCTATGGCTTCAGATTCTGCATTGAAATTAACTTTTAGGAAACTACTACTTGTGAAGTTCTACTTTAGTATTAAAGAAGACTTTCTACAATTATCTGGAAAGACTATTAAAATACTCTTCCTTTTTCCAACTGCAAATTTGTGTGAGGTCAGATTTCTTCGAATACTTCAACCAAAACAATATATAATAACAGGTTGAATGCAGAAGAAAGATATGAGAGTCCAGTTGTCTTCCATTAAGTCAGACATCAAAGGGATTTGCAAAAGTATAAAAACAATGTTATTCTATTATTCACTAAATTTTTAGAAAATATAAATACTTCTCATAAAAATGCTGTTTATATTGACATACACTGGTTTTATTATCTTAAATATTTATATTTTCTCAATATTAATTTTCAAAATGGTGAATGTCAGTGAATATATTCTTTGAGGTCTTTGATGATTTCTTTATACGTACAAAGGGATCCTGAGACCAGAAAGTTATGAACTGCTAAACCATACAATGTGTACAGATGCAACTAATTTTCACAAATAATAGTAATATTTGAAAGAACAGAGAAGCCAAAAAAGTACTTCCTTCTGTGAAATTTTAGAATCTTTTCAATGATGTTTCCTCATATAATTAACAAAGCATACATTTTCTTAATAAACATATTAAAATAAAATATTAAGACAATATGCAAAAGAAAACTGTAAACCATCATGACTGATCACTTGCTATCTCTGATAAGTTGTTAGTATCATTATTTTAAGCTTGGCCCTTGGTGTTTATAAGACCCTTCTTAATACTACTTTCGTTAAAAATATGAATTAGTCCTTCAAAGTATTTTTTATTTTGTTGCCAAATTTTAACTCTCTCCCAAATACATGTTTGCAGTCTGTCTTTCTTCCTAATTATTAATGGCAGAGACTAAGACCTTTTAAGAGTACTAGACTGGAATTTAGAAGATCTGAGTTATGGGATCTTGAGTCAGTCACCAGGAGCCTTAATATCTCCTTCTGTAAAATATGAAGGCAACCTACCAAATGATTTCTCAGACTCCTTTTAGCTCTAATGGGCTATGATCTTAACATGTCACCAAGGTGATACGGTTAAGTCAACAGCAGGCTCCTGCATGTGACACAGAGTAATACAACTGAACAAGTCTGAAATTATAGCTTTACTGTTTGTATCTCTTTTTTTCAATCAGCTTATAAAACACAATTCCCTTGTGTTTGAAAAAGAACATTAATATAAGAAAGTTTTTTAAAAATCATATCTCAAGCTTGTCATTATCCTAACAAGACACCAGCATAATTAACTGCATCCAGGTTTGGGAATGCTGCTGGGAACTAGCATTCAATAAAATCATTGCAATACGTAATATGAAGATATAAATGTATATATTAACAGCATTGAGTACTGCTTTATTGAAGTATAGTAGGCTTATAACAGACTACACATACTGTATACAATTTGATAAGTTCTGACATATGTATGTATATACCCATGAAACCACTTTGTATTTTA